ACTGCCTGGGTGACTCAGCTCCCAAATCTTGGTTGAGTACCAGGTGACGCTGATGTTTGCTGTCCGCTTGATTCTGACCCCTGGTGACCGCAGTACAACTACTCGATGAGGTTTTCAGGGCCGAGACCTCTCACAGGTAGTTGACAGGCCTGTCTTCTGAGACACCTCTGAGTGGCTATGAACTGGGAATCTTTTGGCTAGTAGTGAAGCACTTAGCCATTTGTACCACCTAGGAAACCGATTTGTGGAGTATCAACTATAGACTATGTACTGTTCCAGGCCCTGGGGATGAGGATGATGATAAAACAAAGATGTTGATGAAGAAGAAGAAAATAACAGCTATCTCAAGACACACATTAATAAATCTTAATATTTTAGGTGCTATAGATACATATTAATCGCCTTACTTGTCATAACCACACAACGAGAGAAAAAATACTATCCTCACATGTGGACAAATTGAATCATAAAGATGTTGAGGAACTTTCCCAAGGTCACATAGTCGTAAGTGTTGGAGCTCGTCCCGAATCCAGGCAGTCCGGGCGCCAGGACCATTTTTCTTAACCTCTAGTCTCCTGCGTGGGGTCTCTGCTAGGTGGGAGCCATCAAGGAGTTTTCCTTCTGATATCAGAGAGACCAAACCAGGTGAGACAAGTTTGTAACAATACACCTGGCACTTATCAGGGGCACCTGGCAAAGATTCCGGATGAGAGCCTGTGTCCAGCTGATTCTTAAGAGACAGGAAGGCTGGGATGCCCACGTCAGAGCCTAATAAGTGAGTGCACCTCTGGGACGGAGTTAGAGCCCGGCCCATTCAGGAACTGCGTGAGCCTCAGCATGGCTGCAAGAGAGCAGAACGTTTATCATAGCAGAAGCCTGATGTAATGTGGTGACATCTCTTACTCAATTCTCGAGGCGAAGCTCCATGTAGGGTCAATCTTAGTGTAGTGGCCAAACACCGGCATGATGTCATGGGCCGGTAAGATCATGCCATTTATAGAGTGCTTCTTGATGTCCCTGAGAAAAAGGTGAGTCAGATAAAACGATGTCACCCTGGAGCGACGTCTATTTACATTCTCCTCCGAAGGCTTGTACATTATTCCACAAACAAAAGAACCAAATCTCTCTCATGGCCCAACTTTCAACGGGGTGTTCTGGCCTGGTTAATGAGGCATGCGTAGGCTGCACTGGGGTGAATCTGTTCTTGTTCCTCTTGGTGCGGACAGAATCGCCTGGAAATGGAAATCAGTCAGAAATATGCACACCGGAGGGCATTGTCCGCTGTGCCGCCCCCTGTTCTGGTCCATCACCTCCGTCATTAGCATTCTTCCATTCTCGATTTCCACACTCCAACCTCCCGATGACTGCTACTTTGGACCCTTTTTACAATTCAGAATCTCTTTTTCCGTAAGAAGTGTCTTCTGATTGTTCACGGGGAATACATAGCATGAGGTGCCTTCCACAGCACCTCTGCCCAGCCTCTGCCCTGCCCTGCTCCACAGAAGTGCTCAGAACCCTCTTTTGACACTTCTGAATTCTCTGTCCAGCAATACAAGTGCGTCTTTAAAATGATGGTGAAACATATATAATAAAATACTTGTCAACTCAATAGCTTCTACACGAACAATTCAGTGACGTCGATTACATTGTCATGTTGTACAACCACCACTTTCCCTAAATTATTTGGCCACTCTTCACTGAAACTCCATGCTCCCGAAGTAATGCCATCCCCTTCCGTTCACCTTCCCACCTCCAGGAACTACTAAGCTTTGGTCTCTCTACATGGGCCTTTTTCACATAGGTGAGATCATACATTAGTTGCCCTTTGGTGATTGATCTTTTTCACTCGGCCTCATGTTTCAAGGTTCGTTTGTGGTGTGACATGCCATAGCCTTCCGTTCTCTCTATGGCTGAGTGGCATTGTACATGTTCAGCTCTGATCCGAATGACTGAGTGATGG